TTGGTTAATACCGGTAAAAATGACAGCTTGGTAGTACTCGTAGAGTCTACTTGCAGATACCAGCCTAGGAATTACCAGTGACGTATTTACCGCCCTTTGTGATTAAAAAGTTAAAATTTGGAAATTGATGAGATCGTAATTGTAAATGAAATGTATGGTGTTTCTCAAGAAAGACATGAATAATATCTTGAAAGGAGTATTGTACTGTATCTGCACTTGCATTCAATTTTGGCCATCTAACATAAATGTATATACTTTGTTTGGTATTTCTCTATTGGGTTTTATGCTAACCCCTATGGGATTTGGTGTAGGCAAAGACGTGGTGATCCCGCCAAGTTGAGGGCGCGGATAATTGTAAAGAGCACATGGCTCCTCTTTTGTTGTGATTTCTTTTTGTAAAGCCAAGGGCTAACGTGTATGAGTCCGAAAGACCACTTCTGTGTAACCGGGCTATTGCCTTGGAAGATGTAAGCCCTTAAGGGCATTTTATTGTTTTGAGATTAGGTGCTTCACATGCTATAGATTCATGTGTATTTTGATCATTGAATGTATATCCGCATGTGGAACTTTTGTATAAACTCTCATATCTAATATTTAGAGAGGGAAGGATTACTGTCTTTGTTTAGTGAATGCTTATTAATGTGGGTAGTTCATGTTGAATTATTTTGGGGCGTGACATGAACTACATAATTTACCAATTTTAAAAAATAACTTTTTTTTTGGACTAATTTAAAAAAACAAATCATTTTAAAATAACTTGAGATCTGAAAAATAACTTGAGATTTGATGATTTGGTGTGATCATAAGAATAATGTGCTAATGATATTTTTGAGAATAAAAATCATTTTAATAAATTTTTAATTTTAAAACGAGAGGACTTAAGGCTGCTACATAGTTTTATTCTAATTTAAATTTTATGATTTTTTATCGTTTGTATAGCTCTAGTCATAAGAATAATAATAATAATGATAATAATAATAATAAGTAGGGTAAATTATAATAATGTTACAAACTTGGAAAAATTTTAAGAAGAAAAAGAAAAGAGAAAAAAAGTCCAGAATGCAACTCTTCATGGTTGAGCATATGGGTTTTACTTAGAGCGAATTGATTGCTTTAGTAATTTTTTTTTTTAAATTATGAAAAGCATATAAAAAATAGAGAGAATGATTTAATATGTAATGACTTTTTGATTAAGATCCTTTACTTCCCAAACAAGTCCTCAGAATCAATGCAACATAATTTCCACAATGTTTTGGATATTTTTATTTTATTTTATTCTATTTTTTAGTCGGTCTACTTATTGCAATAGATAGGTCCAACATTGATGACTAGAAAAACATGTCCCAATCCAAAATTGACAAAGTCAGTTCGAAAACAAGAAAGCTGGCCAAAATAAATAAATAAATATACACTAATATTAATATTAAACACAACATTTGCTAAATCCAAACACAAATCTCCAAACATATTTTGACGAAACAACATAGAATTTTGATACAAACATGGTCTTTAATCCAATCAACATCGTTGTATATAGGTAAATTCACTATTCTTGCAATGAACAACTTGAGAAAAATCTTATGATGGCCGAGAAGAAATTTCTGTCATTCTTTCTGGCCATCATTGGCGTTGCAGGCAATGGAATTGCCTCGTGTAATGCATCAATACTGATGTCATCTCCACCCTATACTTCTAAACCACACAAAATTACACCGCCATCGATGCCTCCATTTTCTCCTTCACCAGCTCCATATGCACCAGGACTGGCCCCTGCTCGTGCACTGCCCTCTGGTGGCATCAAGGGTGGATATTGGCCTTCATCGATAGCTGAAAGGTTCCCTCCATCAACAATCCCTACTAAATACTTCACTCACCTCTTTTATGCTTTGGTTTTGCCCGATGCCACAAGTTACCAACTCTTTGTCACCCCGCTTGACGATCAGTGGATGGGAATTTCACCGCCACCCTCCATGCCCAAAATCGGAGGAGGAAATTCAAACTCTTCAACTTTCTCCAACATGGCAAGCAGCCACGACACCCGTGCTGCCTTCATCAAGTCAACCATCGACGTGGCTAGAAAGTATGATTTTGATGGCCTTGACCTCGATTGGGAATTCCCACAAAACCCACAGGACATGACACGCTTCTCAATGCTCTTCTACGAGTGGCGCACTGCCACTAACAAGGAATCGCTCGCTTCTGGTAAGCCGCGACTCCTTTTGTCTGCAGCGGTCTACTTTGCCTCCAACTTCTTCTTGGCGGAGATTCCACGAACATACCCTGGCGGTGCCATTAAAAACTTCCTGGATTTTTTGAACCCAATGTGCTATGATTACCATGTTTCTTGGGACACCTCGGTCACTGGTGCTCAAGCGTTGCTATTTGACAAGTCCAGCAATGTTAGCACTAGCTATGGTATTTCGACATGGGTTGAAAATGGAGTGCCGCCGCAGAAACTGGTGATGGGGCTACCCATGTATGGTAGGACATGGAAATTGAAGGACCCAAATCAGAATGGAATGGGAGCTCCTGCAAATGGGACAGGACCTGGCTATTTAAGGGTCATGAAGTATAGTGATATTGTGGATTTTAATCTGGCAAACAATGCCTCTGTTGTGTTTGATGAGGAGACCGTATCGACATACTCATATGCAGGAACCGATTGGATTGGGTATGATGACATGGAATCGATCAGCAACAAGGTGAACTTCGCTCGAGCGAATGGCCTCGGTGGATATTTCTTCTGGGCAGTTGGATTTGACAAGAACTGGACCATCTCTGAAGCAGGTTCGTTGCATAATATATTTCGAGGTTGGTAACTAGCGTATTAGTGGACTAACCGTAGGCATAAGTAACGTTAACTAATTGATAAGTTAGAAGCCCCAAATCATTTTCTATTAGATTGTGTTTTGTTTATGTGAAATACTGTGAATCCCTTAAAAAAACAAGTTTGAAAAACTTTTTAATACTGGATAAAGAAGGATAAGTTATCCCGACGAGGATGTTTTAGATATTCGCAAAATATGAATCAAATGAGTTAAAATTCATTATTCTCAAATCAAACATGATCTAAAAATTAGTTGGGTGGAGAGTACTATTACTGATCCAAAAAAAAAATGATATCATCTAAAGTTGTTGTCTGAAATATTTTAAGAAATTCACTAAGAGAGTCTATTTGATTGGATGTATTTTAAATCAATTTTATACAAATATTGAAGAATTAGCTATTATTGGTGGATAGAAAAACTGAAAAAGATGTATTTTTTGTAACATTTTTTTAGCTAAAAGGAGAATATTTAGAATGATTCCAAATAATTATTTTTTCATAGGTATTTCAAATCCATCATGATAAAATTTCTTAATATAATATTGAAATACAAAGATAAACTATCATATCTAAATATGAGCTATTCTTCTTACTTTCTCTCCTTGAATGATTAATATTAAATTCATGCATTTCAAATTCATAAATACAAATGGAGCCTAAATGTTGTGTGTGATGCATGTATGACAGCTTCCATGGCATGGGACTATCAAAGCTGAACAATGGGGAAGAGTTTGACGAGGGCTAAAGGTTCTATGGATAACTTAGATGAGGCCTACAGGGACCCTCTCTCTCTCTCCCTCTCCCTCTCCCTCTCCCGGTAATAATCTCCAATTTGATTCCTTATTGAAGTGTGTCAAATAAGGAGAAAATAAATTGTGGTCTATATGTTACATGGTTTGTTTGTTCTTCATTAGTACATTTTTTGATTTCATTTCAAGGCTTTTAATAGAATTTATTAGTCCATTCTAAACTTAGCAAAGAATTGAATTTGGATTTTTACACGTTTGTGGAAATTACAACACCTAGAGATCATGATTCACTACCCATATGAAATAAAGGAAAATGTTTCAGTGCTCACGATTTTTTTACGGTCAAATATATTCAATCTTATTTTCTTATGCGACAATGTTATTTTCATAATTTGAACTTACGATGGAAAAACTATATTGTGCAACTTTTTTCTTTTATATATATAGAAATTCTATATATATATTGATGTAAAGTAATAAATGGCTACACATAAAAGTATGATTGAGTAAAAAATCAAAAAAGTCAACCTAATTGCACAGTTCGATTTTCATAATATTCGGTTTCATCCTGATTTTTAAACAGGTAAATCGTAACTTATAGTTTAATTTTAATTTTTTATAATTATTATAATTCTAGTTTAGTATTGCATGGTTTTGTTTTTTTGATGTTGTCTCAATGCTTTATGTATTTGAATTCCATTAATATATATTTTTTCTAATAAAAAATAAAATAAAATTGTGGTTTAGAACTGAGCCTACCTTTTTAAACACAAACATCCATATATAATTTGTTATGTATTGTAGACACTTTTGATTTTTATTCTGATTGTCACACGTTACTTTATCTTAAGTAAATTGTGAATAATATTTGGTGATTATGTTTTGAATAAAAATGACAACATTTTTAAAAATTATTGTTTTAAACTGAACCAAATCATCTTTTATTTGTTCAATTTGATTTGATTTGATTATAAAATTTTTATAATTTGATTTGGTTTATAAATTTCATAGGACTATATGTTTAATTCTTGATTTACTTTTAAATTGAACCAAACCAAATCATACTCATCCCTAAATAAAGTATTTCAAGAATGCATTAATGAAAGAGTAATGCTACATACTAAAACTTTTACTATAAAAAAAAAAAAAATGTGAATCCCAATTATTAGATAGTATCGTTCAAATATATATATGAATAATGCTTGGGACCCCCTTTTGGGGGTCACCCCCTCACCTCCTTTGCCACGTGGCAGGTGGTGATTGGAGGAGCAGGAAAAAAAAGAAAAAGAAAAAGAAAATGTAACCAATGAGAGAGAGAGGGGGTCAAAGGGGGTGGGGGAAAAAGGGGGATGAATCATTGTTGTATATATATATATATATATTAGATAGGATATACTCAATATCCACAAAAATAAATAAATATATAACAAGGAACAATGTAGCCACCTAGGGTGTGTATGGTGTGGTTTAAGGATAAAATTATAAAGCAAACTGTGAATGACGGATTAACAAATAACCAAATTGTGGTTTGGGTAATTTGGACAATTTCAACTTATTAGTTGATTGAAGATTAATCTTAAATAATTATTCAATATTTACATAATATATAATACTAATTTACATAATATTTATATATATATATATAACATTAACTAATTTTACATAATATTTTTCATATATATAACATTAGTTTACAACAAATTCCACATCTTAAATCTGTCTTAGATCGATTTTAATTTTAATATTTCAGTAGAGATAAAATAAAAAATATATATTAACTATAGGGGTGCAATTTCAAAGATTGATTATAAATTTAAAATCACGGATCAAATTAACTCACAGTTAGTTGGCGGATTGATTTGGATTGAACCATTTTAACAAATTGAACTGTTTTTAAATTGCTTTAGAGCTACTTTACCAAACAAAAATAAACTGAGTTTAAATGTCTTAGGAGAATAATATACAATAGATAAACATATTATTTAACAGGGATATTAGCTCTCATAACAAACATAATCGACATTTTCTTAGGGATGGCAATGGATAACCTACCCTGTGGGTATCCATGGAGACCCAACCCAGAATTACATGCGGTTTTCCCTTTTTTCTTATCCATCTGGGTAGGGGTAGGTGCATATTCTTTGAATATTCACAGGGATGGGTTGGGATGGATACCCACTATTTCCCCATATGTTTTTTTTTTTTTTTTTTTTTTTTTTTTTTTTTTTTTTTTTTAAGATTATAACCAAAACTTAAATATACATTCAATTGATCTTTTTTTCTTTTTTTTAATTTTATTTATTTATTATTTCAGGTTTCACAACCAATTCTTTTTTTTTTTTTTTTTTTTTTAATTTCCACAACCAAAGCCTAAAAAGATACGCTCTAATCTTTTTATTATTATTATTTTTTATTTTTAAGGGTTCACAACCATTTTTTTTTTTTAATTTTTAAGATTCACAACCAAAGCTAAATATATATTCAATCTTTTTTTATTTTATTTTTTTTATTGTTATTTTTTATTTGTAAGGTTTACAATCAGTTTTTTTTAAGATTCAACAAACGCAAAGCTAATATACATTCAAGTTATTTTATTTTTTTATTGAACT